ACAAGTATGGAGGCCTTCCAAGAGCAGCTCTTTAACAATCTTTTTGTTATCAATTGTATTACAATATTCTGCCGGAGTTAACAAAAGAGAAAACGAAACAGAGCATGCCTCAAAATCTTATGAAGATTCAAAAAGATGGATAACCATATAGTAGTAGTCCGAAGTCCAAACCAACGTGAAGATATATTAATTTTATGTTAGTGACTGATCTTTCCTGACCCTAACGAATCCAACATTTCAGCTATTCTTAAACTCAATTATATTATATGAAGCATCGACACTTTAAAATTTCTACGTGTCGTGTTCGATACTTCCCGACACTCACTTACACTCCGACACTTCCTGACACTCAAATACTCATTACAAAGACTCAAAAAAGGTTCAAAGGTTATGTTGCGTTGCATTTTGAATTCCAACTATTAAATTCGTTGGATTACGATTTTATTGGGTTTAATATAAACATTTGGGATATCTTATGATTCTTTGCAAAATTGATGGGTATTATAAGTTTAGTTTTAATTTTTTGTTAAATTATTGAATATTATATATAATATACACTACATAAATTTAAAATATTATATAATATTCAAATGTGTCCTAACGTGTCGAAATTTAATATTTTTTAGAATTAACATTTCGGAGTGCCATGTAATATCCCGTATTCCGTATCGGTGTCGGTGCAAAGTAGATTATATTTTTCTTTTCATCATCTTCAGCTTCTTTATCAACCTTTTCTCCTTTATCACAATCATCTTGCTGCTTCCTCTGTTGTTCCTCCTTATCTTTGGCCTCATGTTCTCTCTCTTTAGCCTCCAGTTCCTGACTTTCTTTCTTCATTCTAACAACATTTATTAGCTCTTTAAGAGTAGTTTCAATATTGTCGCTGCTCTTCAGAAGCTGCTCCGCCACTTCAGCTGGAGTCACCTGAGTTTTCTGAATTACCTCCTCAATCTCTTCGAAGAGAAAGTGTTCTTTAATTCCAAGGTAAGTGGCTGCTAGCTGCCTAAAACCACAAGGAGTGCAGTATGACATGTGAATATGAACATCCATGCGACCAGGGCGAAGCAACGCTGGATCGAGCTTGTCTTTGTGGTTTGTTGTGAACACTATAATCCTCTCATCCCCACAACTTGACCATAACCCATCAATGAAATTCAACAGCCCCGACAAAGTGACCTGCAGGTGTAGCACAAATTATTAGACTGAAAATAATGTGTATATATATATATATATATATATATATATATAAAAGAAAGAGAAGATGTTTCCTGACCCTCATTTATCTAATATCTTAGTTTTGCCCATAAAAAGCAGTCATGGGATTGTGACAATAAGGCTAACACTTGCAACAAATAATATATAAAATATATTTTTTAACATGAAAATGAAAATATTTAACTAAACAATGACTTCAAAGATTGTTTTAATTTTTTTTTTGATATATAAGATTTTTTTAAATTATTATTATTTTTTCCAACAAAGCCTGGCACTATTGGTAGATAGATGACTGAGTTCTTTAAACATGCTGACAAAGATTCAATATCTGGCGGTGTATATGAAAAATGCTTTGTTGGTAGAGACAAAACTCCTTCGGTGATTTTTACGCCTCAAAATGATTAGTCCTTTACTGTCGTCTGAGGGATACTTCGGGGAAACTCAAAAAAAATATATTTGTTTTTAAAAAAATAAAATGATATTAATTTTCTAGCTTTAGTTTTTTTTTCAAATCTCTATTAATTAAAATAAAAATATTAATGAAACAAGAGAAAAATATATTTGAATAAACTTATATTTATTAAAACAAAAAAATTAATGGATTTTTTAAAATTATGCAAAAATTATTAAATAATGTTTATTTTAAAAAAGAAGGAATATCTAATAAAATATAATATACTAGAAAACATATATTATAAAAGACATATAATATACTAGAAAACTCAATCCTGCCACTGACAAGGTGTTTGTAAAATCAATTAATTACTAGTATTTATGTGGATTGGTTTTTTAGGGGGAAAAAAAAGTCCCTCTCTGAAATGCGTCAAATCAAAATGTTTTTACCACTTAGCTAGTTATCTTATTGAAATTTCTAGTAATACCCAATTATCACAACACAAACACATGCAGAGAGGGAAAAGAAGAGGCTAACCTGTTTGTCGGTAGCTGCATTTGATTCCGCCATGCGATCCTGTGACTGAATGGTGCAATCAATATCCTCCACCACAAGAATGGACCTATTAGGCATGGCAATTAGCAAGCGCCTCAGCTCGTAGTTACGGTGCAACTCTGTGAGCTCCAAATCATAGATATCAAAACTCAAGTAATTAGCCATAGCAGCAATCAAGCTTGATTTGCCAGTACCAGGTGGGCCATACAACAAGTACCCTCTTTTCCACGCTTTACCAACCTTCCTATAATACTCTTTCCTCTTCACAAACCTCTTGAGATCCTCCATCACAAACTCCTTGATGTCACTATCAAGTGCCAGCGTGTCAAACGTGGCAGGGTGGTCAAGATTGATCCCAAGCCACGCCTTCCGCTTGTCCACCGTGAAGATCTTCAGCGCCTTGGTCTCTTGCTTCAACGACTTTGCCTCTTTGAGGATGAAGGGGAGGTAAGTGTTGAGAACCATGTCCTCGTGCTTCTTGTGAAACGTGAGTTCCAAAGAGCGAGCCTCCGTTTTGATTGTAGAGATGAGGTCCCTACGGTTGTGAACTTTTATGGATTCAACACGACGGCAGACGAGAAGCCACTTGAATTTGACGCCATGGAAGACGTCGGTGACGGTTTGGTCGCGTTCCATGGTGATGGTGAAGCTTTTCTCGGTGTCGGGTTTGCTTAATTTGAGTCTTTGTGTTGAGGGTGAGATTTTGGTGCCGAGGTATGTCTCCGCGGATTCGTAGATTTGGTTGTTGACTAGGCCTTCTAACTCGTCGATGACTATTGTTAGTTCTGAGGAAAAGCGTTGCGTGAGAATATGCTGCGGATTCCGCCGAGGATGTAGTCGCGGAGTTCCCCCGGGAGGAACTCGTTGACCACCGACCGGACAAGCATTGCGGTGGCGGCCGCCGTGAGGACGGTCTTTGCGGCGGCCAGGTGGGACGTGGCCGAGGAGGATGAAATAAAGGACATTTTTTTATTTTTTGGTTAGTGGGTGGTTTGAGAACGTACGTTGTTGATGCCTTCCGGGGTGGTGTTCTGGTTCTTTAATATTACTGGGCTGATGTGTTTGTGATTTGGAAATGGAACTTTCAAAAAGGAAGAACCTTCTTCCTAGCGGGTGTGATTTTGGAATTCAACTTTCGAATGCGAAGAACATTCTCGCATGTTGACCAGATAGATAGACTTATACTGGTACCGCCCTTTGCTTTTTGTTTCCTGTTCTCGGATTAGATGGTCTCCGAAAGACCTAGGAATTGGGCAGGAAGGAGGCAGCTCATCTCTATGGCTGGAACTTGTCTTTGCCCGCCTTCCTGCCACTCTTGGAAGCTCACGTACGTTGTGGTTTCTCTCCCGATCTCTTCTTCATCATTACACCACGGTCTTGCAGAATTCAGGTTTTGGATCACCCCTCACTCTTCCAAATGCCACAAAGCCTATATAAAAGACTACTACAATGTCTAAGGGACTCACACACTTTAAACACTAATTCTCTCGAGAAATCCAAAGCATTCTCACCATTGTTGAGATACACACACCCATTATTCTTACCATTGGAGAGTTCGCTTTAGGTTCTGATTCATCCCTTTTTAGACATCTATCTCACCATTTGTGAACTAGCTAGAGAGTGAGGGTAAAGATCTGTTTCCTGAATGTGTGAAGTATAGACCAAAGTTAAGGGTGGAAGAGGAAAGTGTGTTTTGGGCTCAATTATATATGGCTTATTGATTGATTTCTGCAAAGTAACAACAATGACAAGAGCGGAGGATATTCCCTCCAAGCACGGAAAGCGTGATGCCATAATTATTTTTAGCCATGTGAGCTCCACTAGATGTGAGGGTGCGTGAACTTTGATATGTAAAAGGTCATGCGTGCATGGGAGATGTGAGAGGATAAATGTACAAAGGAGTAATGTGCTCCACGTTTTAAATGATGATGGCCTTGCCAAGCACCCATATGGGCTGTTATTGTAAGGTCATTCGACCGATCCAAAATAGAAGTCTCCTAACTTGATACTTTAGGATAGGGGTGTTCATCAACCGATCCAAACTGATTTAAACCGCGGTGACCGAACCGAAAAATCGATAACCGAAAACCAAAAAATCAAAAACCGAAAAAAAATCGCAAATTTTAATTTGATTGGATCGGTTTTTGGATGGGTTGATGAAAACCGATCCAATTCAAACCGATCCAATATATTAATTCTCCTCTACCTACTTGGGTCTTTCTCTAATCATAGCCTAAAAATTTCTAAACTCAAGATTCATTAACCCATCAACTAAACCCAAGAAAAAATCGAATCACATCTCATTAACAAAATTTTATCTTTGTAGAGCTTCATATCTCATTGCCCAATAAAAAAAAACTATATTATAGTTTACTAATGCTTTTGTATTTCAAAAAAAATAAATTACAAAGCCAATATATACAAAATATGTTATTTGCACAATAATCATGAAATAAATTTTGGAATTTTCAAAAAATCAAAAATCGATCTAATCCAAACCGAAAAAAATTAGATTGGATTGGATCGGATCGGATTTGAAAAAAAATCCAAACCGAATGGATGATTATATGATCAAACCGAAGGGATTGGATCAGATGATTTTTACTTCCAAAACCGATCCAATCCAGACTACGAACACCCCTACTTTACGATGTCAAAGTGCCCAGATGCATGAATTATATTCTGGCCAGTGGATATGGCTCGGGTGTGGGGAGGATACAGCTCATCCCGGTTGGCATGCTCGGCTAGTTGTTTTGGTCAGATCGTCTGGCCAATGTGAATGTCAATATAATTGTCCTTTTGGGTTTAGACATATCTTCATTATGTTTGTTTTACAATGTCAAAGTGCCAAGATGCTTGGAGGATATTACGACAAGTGGATGTGGCTCGGGTGTGGGGAGGATATAGCTCATGCCGGTTGGCATGCTCAACTAGTTGTTTTGGTCAAATCGTTTGGTTGGTATGAATGTCGATGTAACTATCCTTTTGGGTTTAGCCATATTATTTCCATTCAGTTGTCTTGGAAATGGCCTCTGCCTGCAACAAAGCTACATGGCATCTGATATTTGGATTATGCATATCGTTGGTTGTATCTGTAACACTTTGTTCTAGAATCGGTTTTTTATCTTTACATGTATTATTAAATGCAGTTACAATCACAACAGTTGAATTAAATTACGAATATTTTTTTTCATTTATTCTTACTTTCTATTTTTTAATAACAACTGAATTTCGTAATGATTAATTCAACAACGTAATAATTTGTTATAACTACTTTGGAAGCATTGTATATTAATTTACAATCCCTCACTAGGCAATACCATTAACCGTAAGGGTGTAAAAATATTACTACCATCTTTAGTAGTGTTCCCATAAACCAACATGTTATAAAAATTCTATATCTCTGTTTGCCTTTACTCACTACGACACCAGCTTTTGCGAGCTGTGGTTAGCGAGCAATTAAATCTGAGGCAGTAACAGGGGCTGATATTGCGAGTACCATAACATATTGCGCTTCTTCCGCTTTTTATTTCCTGCTGCCACCAAAAAGAGTTGGTTAACTATAATTTAACTCAATTCAATTGGAAGCCATTTGAAATTCAAGATTTTAACAATTGAAAAATTAGATTAAGTTATCATCTAATTACATAGGTTGAAAATCAAAATTACTCTTTAAAAATTGCATTCCATTTTAGTGCCTCTTCATATTTTCTTATGTATTTGGGCTAAGGAATCTTTTGTGCAGAAAAGACAGGTCTTGGCCCAAACTTATGAAAGGCCCAAAGAAAGAAAGAAAAAGAAAAATCAAAAAGAAAAGCTAGAATATCGTTATCAAATAAAAGCCACTCAATGGGTAGAAAACAGGATAAAAAGTGGATGGGACAATGCACATTTCGTAAGTTTTGTTGGAAATTATGATAACTCTTCCATCCTGGAAACTTGGAGTGTACAATTAACGACAGAACTATTAAAAGCTGAGGATTAAAGTTTAGGCGCCGAATGCTGTTTCTTTTTACCCTTATAATCTTTTATTAATAACTAATTATTAAATTGACTTTCATTATAAATTATTTCGAAATTTAATCTCCTGAAAAAAACATAACATCAATCTGCTCCTGTTTGACCGTTGATCACCAAGCCCACCCGGGTACACCCCTCTTTACCCGGATATTTTTTGAATTTTTATGCCTATCTGGATAGGAAGGGATGTACCTGGGTATATTTCTTGAGATATGGAAAATTGCTTGAACTATTTACCCGGGTAGGAAGGGGTGTACCCGGGTAAATATGTGTCTGCAACAGTTTTGCCTTGTTTTATAGCCTAAATTGATGCTGGAACTTATCTTGGTTTAGCTGCTATGTGTTCGGATAATGCAATTTTTTTTTGGGGGCTTCTAGGTTCGTGGCTTTTTGGGGCAGCCACAACTTGAGAGTGCACTCACTGGCATGGACTTGGTAGTTATACCTGCTGGTGCGCCAAGGAAACCTGGAATGACAAGGGATGATTTATTTAAAATAAATGCTGGAATTGTGAGGACCCTTCGTGAAGGAATTGCCAAGTGCTACCCCAATGCTATTGTCAACTTGATTAGCAATCCAGTGAATTCCACTGTTGCAATTGCTGCTGAGGTTTTTAAGAAAGCTGGTACATATGATCCAAAGCGGCTCCTGGGTGTTACAACCCTTGACGTTGTGAGGGCAAATACTTTTGTGGTAAGCATTGCTTTCCTGTTCTTATTTAAACAGCCTATGCCCAATAATTAAATTTCCTTCTTGTTGTGTTGCAGAACTAAAATATCGAAAAGGAGACAGAAAGTTTAAAATATAATCAAGGTCTTGAATCTATAACTAATGAGGATTCACATAACTCCTAAATGTTAACTGTTAGATCCAATTAGTTTATTTAAGTTGTTTTGAGAAATATTTATAATTATAACAATGGGTTGGACATAACAGATATTTCCATATTGTGAGATTTATCTACAATGCTACTTTAGTGGAATTGCATGAGCAAGGTTGGTGTTGGTCCTGTCATGTTTTTTTCTTGCAGGCAGAGGTACTGGGAGTTGATCCAAGAGAGGTTGATGTTCCGGTAGTGGGAGGTCATTCAGGAGTCACAATATTGCCCCTTTTGTCACAGGTCAACGTATGGTTTGGTTCATTTCCCACTAAGGATTTTAACGTTGTATCTTCAGATGGGGCATTGGTGAGAGCTGCAGCTAGAGAAGAGATGGTGAGAGTCACTACTCTCTTGTGGGATGCACTTGTGCACCTGCTTTTCAGTTCCAGGACTTTGATCTCGCAAAACGTTCTCAACTCATTGCTCGCTTTTCCCAAATGGAGCCTCTCATCTCATCACTGTTCAACCAAATCAAACAATTTACCCGGGTACACCCCTTCCTACCCAGGTAAATAGTTCAAGCAATTTTTCAGATCTCAAGAAATATACCCGGGTACACCCCTTCCTACCCGGGTAGGCATAAAATTTCAAAAAATATCCGGGTAGGCATAAAATTTCAAAAAATACCCGGGTAGGGAGGGGTGTACCTAGGTAGGCTTGGTGGTCAACGGTCAAATAGGGGCAGATTGATGTTATGTTTTTTTGGGAGGTTAAATTTTCGAAATAGTTTATAATGAAGGTCAATTTGGTAATTAATTATTAATAAAGGGTTATAAGGGTTAAAAAGCCCACCCTCCCTAATAAAAGAAAAGAAAAGAAAGAAAGAAAGAAATGGTCCGACAGTGGGAATAGAAGAAATGACACTGTTCAAACTGGATTACTGAATCAGTAGACATAAATAAAAAAAGAATTAATTTAAGAATTGTTTAGATATTATCCATAAATTTATGGTTACTCTAGTTCGAGTCGGATAGGATTACGTGATGACAAAATTCTCCTAACGAAGAATAATAATTAGAAGCTGGAGATTGAATCTAACCTGTGTATGTAAAATTCGATATTTATCACTAAATTAGAAAATACCACATCATGAAAATAGTTAAAATATTTCATTAACACTAATTTTTTTAAACAATTTTATAAATAGGTGACAACATCATTGACATCGATTAATAATAATAATAATAATAATAGTAACAATTTACATTAAAATTCTTAAAATAACAAAATAGCATAATAAATATAATAAGTTTGAATATGCAATGTTTATTCTTTTTTTAAATATTTTTAATTTAATTTGATATGAAAATTTGCACACAAGCTCACATTATGAACAAATTATAAATTGAAGCGGGTAAAGTTTGTACATAAGAACAGAAAAGCTTCTTCAGTGAAATAATATTTGCTATTATGTTATATTAATCTTTTATGGTATAACATTTACAAATATGTATATATAATTAAAAATAGTTGTTTAAGAAATTTGTAAGCTTGATATTTACGTTGTTAATTATAGCCATGTATAGTAATGCAAAAGTTTCACGTTAATCGATACTAAATACTCAATTGAATGTATTTTACGTGACAATTTGTTATTTTTTTTAATTCCTTTTAATAGTTCTGTGCTATTGAATAACTTTTGTCTAAAAAATGGATAAGACAAAAAAGAAAAGAAAAAAGACCTTTTTCAATAACATAAAAACTTTATACAAACAAAAAGCAGTACATCTCAAACTTCATATCTCTTCATAAAATAATTTTTAAAAGATCATTTTAAAAGAGAGGCTAATAACACCTTCTAAATATAATTACACCTGACATCTTCATTGTTCAAAAAATTACATTTACTTCTTTTACACCCCATGTATATTCCCATACTCTCTTAGTTTGAGAAATTATATATATTTTTCTTAACTTTATATATAATATTGTTTTAAAATATCTTATGTTGTAAGAGATACATTTTTTTTCTACACACATATAAAAGTATGTAAGGCTCATATACGGTCATGTGAAGAGAAGATAGAAAAAAAGAAAGTGTAGATTTCACACAATTATATGTGTATAGAAATTAATTTTATTTTCTACAACATGAGAGACATTAAACCCATTTTTCTTACACCTTTCCCCTTTTTAAGTTAATCTAAATTAGCCATCATTCTTAAAGCAATCTTAAGGGGGTGTTTGGTATGAGTATTCTGGGAGAAATCGGGAGAAAGTGGGGTGGGGATTTTTTTACCATGTTTGGTATGAATAATAGTAAAATTATCTCAGGATAGTTTTTTCCTATCATTCTCGTTTTTAACTACACATGAGAAAAAAATAATCTCATTCCACCTATGATATTATTTTTTTTCCACCAACTGGGAAACACATTTTCACATTTTGAGACAAAATGCCCTTTACAATATATCAGCATATGTGTAAAGAAGGGTAATTTTGTCATTTCAATTCACATTTCCATCAATATTTTACAATCAACCAAATATAGCATCAGTAAAATTAACCCAACTTTTCCGAAAATATTTTGGCTGACCAAACACCTTTTAGATAAAAAAAAAATCTCCTCTACCAAACATCCCTTTGTACATCAACATAATACATTTAGGCTTTGTTTGGAAATTTGGAGGGAAAGGGAAGGAAGGGGATCCAAGGGGAGGGAGGGGAAGGAAGGGAAAGAAATTGAAGGGTATTTCCTTTCCATGTTTGGGAGTTAAAAAAATGGTAAGGGAGAAAAATAGAGGATTAATGAGATATTTTTATCATTTTATTCTATTTTTAAAATATTAAATAAATTTTTTATAGAAATATTTTTCGTCAAAAATTTTTACGAAAATATTTTATGTCAATTTTTTTTGACACAAATGTGTTTCGTTGAAAATTTTGACGAAAATATTTTTTATCAAAAAACTTGACGGAAATATTTTTCGTCGAAATTTTTTGATGGAAATGTGTTTCGTGAAAAATTTTGACGGAAATTTTTTTTTTTTGTGAAAAAGTTTAACGAAAATGTTTCCTTTGAAATTTTTTGAAGGAATTTAAATTTTGTAAAGAATTTTGATGAAATTTTTTTCCGTCAAAAATTTTCGATGGAAATGTGTTTCGTTGAAAATTTTGATGAACATTTTTTTTTCGTCAAAAATTTCGATGAATATGCTTTTTTGTAAATTATTTTGACGAAATTTAGATTCCATAAAAAGTTTTGACAAAAAAAAATTTCTGTCAAATTTTTTTACAGAAATATTTTTAGTCACAAATTTTATGGAAATATTTTTCATCAAATTTTTTGATGAAAATGTTTTCATTAAAATTTTTTGACGAAATTATTTAATGTCGAAACTTTTCGATGGAATTGTGTTTCGTCAAAATTTTGGACATAAATAATTTCGTTGAAAGTGTTGAAAGAATTTATATTTTATCAATAATGTTGACTGAATTTTTTTTTTTCGTAAAAAAATTATGTCAATGATTATGGCAAAATCTGGTTCCGTTTCTAATTTCGTCTTTAGTTTTGAAGAAAATTTTTTGACGTATATGATTTTCATCAAAAATTTCATCACTTTTTTTGACGAAATATTTTTCGTCGGTAAATTCTATCGGTATTTGAGACTTTTCTAATAATGTCACATTAAAAAATGATTCACATTTATGTTGTTTTCACATTTTAATGCTAAGGGTAGATATGTAATTTTTAATATCCCCAAAGTGGGAAAACTTTAATTTTAAGATGGAGGGTTTTGGATGATTTAGTAAAAATCCCCAATTTCTTCCTCTCATTTTTCTTGAACTCCCAAACAAGGAAAGGGCCAAAAACCCTCCCTTTCCTTCCCCTCTCTTCCTAAAATCAACTCCCAAACAAAGTCCTTAATCATAATACATTTAAGAGAATAAACTCTATTAGATGCTAATCAAGGTTTGAACCTGAGTTCATAAGAAGCACACCTCCGTAATCACAAGGTTAATCTTTTTATATGCAAATACCTACTCCATGGACATCAAGGGCGGACCGAGAGGGGTGCTAGGGTAGGCGGCCGCCCCCCTCAAAATTTGAAGAATTTTTTTAACATAAGTATAATGCAAGAAATTTCTATTTTTTCTCTCTATTAATGTGAAGTAGTTTTCTCGTGCCACAGAGAGTTTATAGAGTTTATAAGATCTGTTTACAAATTACACTAAGTATGACCAGTCATACACTCTTATCAAAGTATGACGGTCAGACACAATATAGTTTGTAAGAGTTTCTAAACGAAAAGTTTGTAAATATAACATTCCCCTTAAATTATAGTTTAAACCTCAACTTGACACTTACAGTTTCAACTTTTATTATGCTTAGATGTTAGCACAAATCTTCCCATCCATGAATAAAAATAAGAAGTCCGAGAGTCTTATGAAAGAATGAACTTTATTCTTTCGATCCCTCTCCTTTTCTGATGATTCGTGACATAGAGGGAAGTGAGGGGCAGAAGGGTTTTGGTGATTGTGCTTCTTGGCAATCTGTCTCCTTTGAATTATCTATTTAGATATAGTAATTAGTTAATATTTTTTGTGAAATCTAAACCTTTTCTCTATTCTCTCTCTTTTTTTGGTTTCTTTGCATAAAAAATGTTCATTTTAGGGGTTGAAAAGCTGTAGTTTTTTTAAATTGATAGTAGATTTTACTATGACATCTTCCACCTCTCTCTCTCCATCTTTCTCTCTATAACAAGTTAAAAGAGTATTTATGAGTTATGTTCTCTGGATTAGTGTTTTGTAACATCCCCAGCCTCGAGCCGGTTCAATTAACATACATATGATACTTAACAGAAACAGCGGAAGACTTAAACTTATGAAAATACGAGCTAACTTTTTCTTTTTCTCATTAGGCGTAAACGAAAATCGGACAGAGCAACCTCTGTCGGACAACTGGGGATTTTCCAATCCCACTCTCAAGAGTTCCTGATAGACAGTTTAAACTATATATATATATATATATCCAGAAGTACCAGTCATGCAAATATACTCAGATACCCATCTATGGGCGCATGCAGAACTTGGCTCCGTGCCACTAATCTAATAGCATGCAATCCAATACATAACATAACTGAATACTACATAGTCATATCAATATGCCTGAATACATAAATGTACATTATAACACCTCACAATTTTAAATCAAGTAATTAAAATATTAAGTGAGCAATCAAGTGATGGATTAGTGAAAATCCTAAAGATTATGCCAAAATACAAAGAAAGGGCAAAACGGTAATTAGCCAACACGCAACCCTAGGAAGATAAAAATTGAGTAGAAGGTCTCAGATGGTAAAAATAACCCTGGAAATGGGTTCAGAACGAAAAATTGAGTGGTTAGGAAAGTTTCAGAAAAATAAGTGAATAATGTTTTTCGCGGGTAAAAATACCGCGTTACGACTGCACCGTAAAACGTGCCAGTTGAATTTTGAGCTCTAGGTTTCAAATATGAGTTACAAATGGTCTATTGAGTTAGGAAATATAATTGTTGATAAAATTTGATGAAAGTA